GGGAAAGAGGGAAAGGATTAAAGGCAGCTTAACTCCCCTGACATGCACCTTACCTGGCATAAGCGTTTTTGCATGCAACAGCTCTGCTACAGGCGTTGCCAGAAGGTCCTTGGGAGGCAGCATATGCATGAGGAATTCATCTCCTAGAGGGAGATGGCTTTTAAAGGGCTTTTTTAAATGGACAGAAGAGGGCTAGAGCAAGTGATGGGATTTCTCCTGTAAGCCTGGAGAGCAAAGCATTACTGCCCTGCCTGGGGGAGGCAAAGGGAAACACAGGAAGGGTCTGACTCACCGAAGCCCCTGCAGCAGGTTAACGCCACACCTCGGGTACCCGAAACCTGCAGCTCCCCACACCTCAGCCCGCTCTGCTCCCCCAAGCTGCCCATCTTGGTGCTCTGCTGCTTAATTCCTCTGTAAAGAGATGGGTGCCAGAGCTGCAGCAGGCGCGGGGTCTCGAGGAGGAGCAAACGCTTCACGCACCAACCAGGACAGCAAGAACAGTTCACAGCCAAATGAGCTGTGACAATGGTGACACGTAATTTTCATGTATAAAAATTAAACAAGCTTGCTGATCCTATTTACATTTTTATTCATGCTTACTTTCCAGTGTTGAGCCTTTTTGGTGCTAATCCACTTTAGCACAGCAATGCCTGGCTAGCACAGCCATGCTCCCAAACTAGCAGCACAGGGCTGGCAGCTCACGCTCTCCCAGGATGCCTGTTTTATGCTGACACGGCCAGTGCCAGGCCCATGGCAAGGCAATAGGTATTCTCCCACTTTTGGCATCTCAAATTCAAGGAAAACTGCTTGCTACGTAGCAAGGATACAAGCTAGTTAAATACTGTAAAGCCTACAGCTTTCTCCAACACTCCTTATTTTTATGTGTCACGTTAAATTCCCTCAGTGCCAGTCTGTATTCTCAGGGTACTTAACAAGGATAGACAAAGCATAGCAGCTCTGAATAAATCTTTACAGTCTATTGTGCATAAGCCTCCGCTTAGAGAAACGTCCTTTAAACCCATCCAGATTTCATCTCCTATGAAAAAAATAATCTGCCACTAAAATAGATAATAAAATGCAAACACACTGGAGATCTTTTAACCTTTGCCAACCGAACAGATGAGCTGCTTAAACCAGACTTTAAACTTGTTTGCATTTAACACGCTGATCAGACAAAAGCCAAGGGGCAGAGATGCTCTGTCTGGGCCACTGCTGCCACCTGCCTCCGAGCCACACTCCTCTGGTGCAGCAATTGCCACAGGTCTGGTTAGCGCCCTGCTCTCTGCTCGGGCTCCTGTGCCTGCAAAACCACCTCTCTGCTCAGCCAGCAACTAATGACCTAGCACAAAAAGCCCCCTAAGCCAGGAGGGTTCCCAGCCGTGGAGATCCAGCTGGGGTCTGTCGTGGCTTTCGTCCTTCCCTGCCTCTCCCAGCATGTCTTGCTTGCTTCTCCCCACCAGCCCCATCCTTCCTGACCTCTGCACCACTGGCTCACGCCAGGCACTGGGCTGCTGAAGGGTCTTAGGTCTGTCCCTGAACCAGGCAAGAGCCATTTCTTTGCTGTACCAAGGAGGGGATGATTGCAGACACGTCCACACCCAGCAGCTCGCAGAGGAAAAGGGAATAAGGTATTCATCACCAAGATGAAACAAAGCCTCTTTGTTACAAAGGGCTGCTCGAAGGCAGATTGCCTTGACACAGGGCTGCAAAATCTCAGAAAAACTGCTGTGAGGGTTTTTTGATTTTTAAACAATATCCCAATACAGGTTTTTGTTTGCTCTCTTTTCCCTTGTGTGTTTGTTTTGTTTTTTGTTTTTTAAACAAAGGTCCCCTCTGGTGCTGATGCAGGTCGGCAGCCAGGCCAAAAGATGCCCCGCCGACGGCTGCAGAGCAGTCCTGGCAGCCTGACCCCAGGCTCGCGGGCAGCTCCGGGTCCTCTGAGGATGGATTCAGTAAATGCCCGAGGCAGAGGAGAGGAAAGCTCCCAGGGACTCGCTCTGCTGTTAGCCTGGTCCTCTATGATCCTTCAGCAGCAGCCTCAGAAATGCCAATTAGAATCAAAAAGAATCCTAAAGACATATTTCAGACTTTATTCGTTGTGACAAGTGCTTTTTACCTTGCGCATTTCTCCCAGCCGCAGGGCCGAGTGGAGCGAGTGCAGCTCAGGGCTGCAC